GGGGGGGGGGGGGGGGGGGGGGGGGGGGGGGGGGGGAGATGGAGAGGAAGGACACGTTGCTAGGATGATTCTAGGAAAGAAGCTTTTATCGTACTCGTAATCGGTTTTTCTTTATAGAAATTTTAGGCTCCGCATTTCTGCAGTCCTTAAAATTCTGAAACCACCTATAACTTGCTATGCTTATAAGTCAGCCCGGTTATTACACATAGTAAAGCATAAGAGTCTGGAACGACTTTTACCTTAAATGCCCTCAACTAACCAAATAACTCCGGTCTATAATTTTTCCATTAGAATTTGCCTCCAGCTATAGTAAATCTCCTTCACTAACTAAGCTGGCTATGCTTTCGTGGCCACAAATTTGCTGACTGCTGAACAACACATGTAATTTCTCACCTCTCATTCTTTTTTCAGGAGCAGAGAAATGCACTTGCCTCTTGGGCAAACTACTGAGCTGAAAAAATTTTTCACCTTTTTTTTCTGTGGTACTTTCATCTCGAAAAAAGTTGCTTGCAGATCGGAAAAAGCCAGGAAACTCTCGCGGAGAAATACGATAATGTGCTGTTCGGCGGACGATATCCTGTCCAACATTTCATGGAGAGGGCCCTGAAACTGAAACGATTTATTGCTTCAGTTAAGAAAACGCCATGCAGTCCTGACAATTAATGCCATACTGTGAAAAATTGTATTTTTTGATAACTGTTCTATTTGAATTAAACATGGTGAGGTTTTGATTCTGTGAGTAAATAAGTGCATAGTGAACGTGGAACACATTGATCGGGACCTTTTAACCTAATTTATGCATAATTTGGCACTTTATGTGACTGTAATTTTGAAGTTGGGTGCATTTTCACGTTTTCGACGCAGCCAACAGTGATACTATTCTGTGCTTCCTGATCTGCTGCAATCACGCATCTCATCTGGAAGCACTCAGATACAAATCCTTCCATTTTACTGTTTGCAGTCTTCTCCTCTGCAACGCATTGAAAAAATACATCCGACTCCCTGGGGGAAGAGGGCGGGGTGGGTAAATTTTGGTGCCGAAGTTTGCTTGGTTGTCGAGTATAAATGCCCAGACAAATGCACACACACGTATACACATAAAAACACACTCACAGGAGTCGTCACAATATGTATTTGTGCATATATGCAAAAACAAATAAAAACCGAGCGGAAACTATAAGAAGAACAAATTATCCAGTTGCGGTCAGTTTATTATCATTGTTAAGTTGGATGGTGCAAGCATTACTCCTCGGTGTAGGATGAGTGCAAGCCAGGGAAAGCCTGAACAACAAATTGTAGAGTTTGCTGAGGGAAAAGTGATTTTTCGAACAATACTCATTGTTTTTTCCTTAGACTAAAGCAATTACTGCATGATGACACACTGCATTCATAATTTTATGGTAAAAAACAACAAGGTTCCGGTTACAAGAGGCTCCTACAACGTTTTTTAATGCTTTTTACACTGCATCAAATTACAAGTCGCATTAAGTCGGGGCGGGTCTGTACCAGTCAAGTCTGTACTGATTTTTCATTTCGAAACCTGCAAAAGCTACGAGGCTGGAACTCTGGGAATATAATCTACATGCATATACGAACCCCGACCTACAAAACGGATGCTCTTGCCTAAGTAGTTCGTATGTGTGGGGCCGTCAAAGTTTTTGGCAGGTAAATTGCTAACTCAGGAGCCAGAGAAACTAGAAAGCCGGAATTTTAAGAGAATGTTTTCTCATAGTCGTAGTGGCTAGTCTCAATTCTTTTGGCCAGAAGCATCTACTGGAAAAACAGTGCTGTTGGCAAAAAAAATCTGCGGGGAACTTTGGGGATAAAGTTTGCGTTCGCATGCATATCCAAAAATCTAGAGATAAAACTGCTGGTCACTGGGTTTTTTGATTTTGTTTATCGGGCTTGAGCTCAAGCGGATTCCCAAAATTAGATTAGCAGAATCGGTATTTTCAGTATTTCGAAATCTGCTTAATAGAAGAAATGTAGGAAATTCAAAAGAGATTTTAAGAAAAATTAGGGAAAAGTGACTAATTCTTGTTCAGTATTAAACAGCTTCATGTATGAAGATATCTCTCTGCACACAGGTGATTGGCGCACGATGGAAGGTAAAAAAAGTTATCGGAGTTGGCGCCAATGGGGCAGTTTACGAGGTACAGAGTGTGAACAGTCCGCGAATATCTGGCGCACTCAAGGTAATTTACAGTTACTTC